TTGAGTGTCTTCTCACCCTAAGAGTTGGTTTTCTAACCTGGAAACTAGACAGCAGTTCTTACTCAGGGTAAAAGTCAAATAATAGCAACACATTTTTTTTCCAGTGGCTTTGCAGCATCCAGCTTTGGGAATATCAGGAAGTTAATTCAGCCTGGTGATGATAACTGAGTTGAGATGATCAGGTCCCGATCCAAGCTGCTCCTAGAGCAGCTAACAGGATGAAAGACAGAAGATCCATCTTAGAGGTAAAATGCATAAACTGATACTTGACTGGCAGAATAGTTGTATAATGGGACAATGAAGAATTAAAGATGAATTCTAGTTTGTAGATTATGATATAGCAGATACCTTTAAATCATAGAAAACATTGAAGAAAGAGAAGATGGGGTAAGAGAAAATGAGGGCAGCTTAGGGCATGATGTCATGAAGTTAATACTGACTGCGATATATATATATGCAATCTTTGTGTGAAAAGGATAGGTCCAAGTTTTGGATTTGTACATATCTATGTTCAAAGAATGGCCCTGTTGTCTCAGATGCATTGAAACTTTCTAAACTTTATTTTTCCTTATTCACAAAATGGAACTACTATAACATGACACAATATGTGTCAAATAGTAGGTTGCATATCAGCATTACATTCATCTATTCAATTAGCAATGTAATAATTTATGAAAGTCATTGTGCATTTAATACTTAGATTCATAAAAATATCACACAGATAGATGAAACATAATTCTATCTAAACGTAAGGGGAGAAATGTAAGAAAGCCTAAAGTGTGAAAATTCTTATATTTTTAGATATTAGCAAATTGTAGATTATTAATTATAATATTAAATTGTTACAAGTTTAGGTATCTAAAACTAAAAGTCTTTTCTTTCACATTCACATTATTCATTCACGATAATGTAGGTATATTTCTCAGCTTAAAAGAAGCTCTGAAACTCAACATAAAATGCTGATGATTCTGTGGAATGCACAGCAATTTCTTTAATGTTCTTTTTTTTAACTTATAATTGAATTTCTATTCAGTTTTCATATTTCTGTGCTAGGATGGAAACTGTAATTTCACTTTATTTCTCACATAATCTAGAATGTTCTTTTTTCCATTAGGCCTAACTTCTTCATGTATAACTTCACTTGTCAGTGAGCTTTTCACATTAAGAATGACAAAAATTAGATAAGTTACAGTGGATAGTCACTACCAATCTCCATTCTGTCGTTTTGATTAATAAAAATAAATTCTTCTAGGGTAAGAATAAGTGCTTTCTAAATAGGTATTTATTAATTTAAAATACATATGGAGTTTTCAAGCCAAAATTATCTCACATTTAGTGAAAAATCTATGTTTTTTAACTTTTGCATGGCTACTTAAACATCAAAG